GCCTTATTTGAGAACAAGCTATTTTAGTAACTTTTTGATTTTTTGGCTAAAATATGAGGTAAAAAAAATTAGTATGTTTGGAATGACTTTTTAATTTTTTACGAAAAGATATGTAAAAAATAGAGTGAAAATAGAATTTTTGAATTTTTGGTATATGTTATAGGCTTTTTGATTTTTTTAGTAATTTTTTGAATTTTTAGACTAAAATTGTTGCATGCCAAACGTGGCCTAAAATAACCAAAAAGTCAAAAAGTTAACACATATCCCAAACGAAGGCTCAATAATATTATTATTGCCATATTACTAGAGGTGTGGATACACATTGGTGGTGTTTAGAAGAGGGTTGGGGTAAAATAACTCATCAAAGATAAAATACGTTAAAATAATCAATAAGACAAAATATCACATCCAACCCATAATCATTTCACTTTTCCTCTTATAACCATCAAATCAACTATAATAAAAATAAAAAAAAAGTAAACAAACTTCCCAATCACAGTTATTTAGCCAGAAAATAGCTAAAAAATTAAATAGCCAACTTCCCAAACAGGTAATTGCTTGCTAGGAATGGCAACGGGCCGGGGTCGGGGATCATACTCCCTGTCCCCGATCCCCGAAGCTACAAAATTCCCCGATCCCCAACGGGGAACCCATCACCCATCCCACCCCTACCTCCTAACGGGGATCGGGTTTCCCCGACCCTGGAAAATTTCCATGACTCTCTCTCTCTCTCTCGCTCTCACATACACACACACACACACACATCAACAGCAACATCATTCAGCAACATCATCAAAAAAAATAAAATAAAAATAGAGACAGATATGGCGAGAGATGGAGGAAATTGACGATGGCGGTGGCGGTGGCGGGATCTTCTCAGATCTGCCGTGGCAGAGAAAGGATAAGGCGAGAGGCGACGGAGTATGAAGGTTTGGCGGTGGCCTGGCGGAGGAAGAGGCTGCGAGAGGCGACGAAGGAGAAAGCGACGGAGGAGGAAAAGGCAACGGTGGCCTAGAGAAAAATGAGACGATAGAGGAGGAGACGGCGAGAGGCGACAGACGGAGGAGGAGGAGCCGACTGCAGAGAGAAGAAAGAGAGTGAGAGAGACAGATCAGAGAGTGAGAATGAGAGAGTGACAGATCAGATTGTATAATAGAGGGGGTTATATATATAAATGGATAGAGGGGTATTATGGTAATTTTATTTCGGGGAGAAACGAGGCCGGGGCCGGCATCGAGGACGGGGACGGGTCGAGTCCGGGGCTGTGAAAGTGATCCCCGTTCCCGTCTCGAAATTGATTGGGGATTCAATTTCAAATACCATCCCCGGCCCATTGAGAGTTTTTTCGGGAAAAAACAGCTCTTATCGGGGACGGAGGGTCGTGTCTCCTTTGGGCCGGGTTCAAATTGCCATCCCTATTGCTTGCATGTGTGAAAAACAGTTAGATAAATCATAACAGTTATTAAGTTTGAAATAATTAGATCTAAAAAGGATATTTTGACAATTAAATAAGAACAATTACATAGGGGTAATTTTGGAATGAAAAAAATATAATGTATAGACATTTTGTTTATTATATGATATGTCGTCACTTCATTAGCAACATATAAGAAATAATAAATAAAATATGATGTACATATATATACTAGGACTTAGACGCGTGCGTTGCACGTGATATGCGATTTTTCATTGATTATTAATACTGTAATTATGTATGTCTCTTAAATTATTTTGGAAAGAGCTAAAAAAAGCCAAAAGCCAGCTTTTAACCTATTTGGGTCACATCATCTCTCTACTTTTTTACACGTTTTTCCAAAAAAAGGGCAAAAAAAAAACTTTTAATCAACTTTTCAAAACAACCCAAATTATGGAGACTTGTTGAGTAAATTGATCCGTATCCAAAATATAACTAAATAAGAAATGAATATACACTCAACTGAAGAATTTAAAGGATAAATGAAAATTTTTGTAAACATAAATTTATAGTTAGATTGTTGAGATTACAATCTTATCTTAAACGATAAACAATAAACAGGTCCTTTAAATATATAGTATTACACAAATATTTTTCTATCAACTTCCTACTTCAAATTTTCATAATCTGTCACTGTAATATAATTGAAAGTATGAAATTAATTGCACAATTTTGTTTAATAATTTATCTCATAATATAAACTCATTCAACCTACTACTGCATATTATTTGTATACTATTGGTGTAAAATGCATTAATATTAATATGTAATATATTTTTATACATTAAGAATTGTTGAGTCTCGTTTCTTGTGCCACGAATATCTTGCGTGATGAAAAATACAATATTAGTCATTAGTATACAATTGCTATACCATTGTCATGAAAAATATATATATATAAAATTCAATTATTGTCATGATATATGTGTTTTATGAAATTTTAGTTCGTTATTGAAAGTGTTTGTTTTAAACACTTGTTTGTATGACATTATTGTATATATGTATTGAACATAAGTTGATAGAAGAACAATATACAATTTCACAATTTTTTCTTAACAAATATAATTATATTACTAAAGCGATTCATTAGAAAATTAAAGTATCCGATGGTAATATAATATTACGGATTGACAATCTATGAATACAGTAACAAATACAAATTTACATATATATATATATATATATTATATTTATATATATGTAGGCATTGACATATATAAGATATCACAAAAATAATATATGAAATCTTTTACAACAATATAATATAGGTAACAAAGAAAAATTAATTATTCATAATTAAATAGTTAGTCATATTGTTGATGTTTAGTGTTACATTTTTGTGCGTATGCACCCTTTTTTAGTTAAATTGTTAAAGGGGAACTATATGCAGGTGGGAGAATGGGAAAAAAATTACCCACACATGGGGGTGCATGGGGGTGCAAGTGTGTCTGTTGTGTGGTACAAATGAAAGGCTGTGGGGGTGCAAGTTGCACCACTCCATGTGTGGGTTATTCTATTTATTTTTTTTCCTTCTTCCATCTGTATGTAATTCCCCCATTATTAAATTCACATAAAAATTAAAAGGAATTTGTAAATAATTTGTATAAAATTATAGATTAGTGAATAAAGATTTTAAAAAGATAAGTTTATAGTGTTTGATTTGATTTGTTTTTTGAATTTTTTAGTTTTCATATTTTTTTTGTCTTTGTCACTTTTTTTAAATAACCCTTTTATTTTCTTTTGAGATTCATTTAATATTTTTTTTTATTTTTTTATTTTGCTTTTAGATTTAGATTTAGATTCACTTAATATAAATACACTTAGAAAATAATTTCTTGTGTATTGTTTTGGAAAAAATTGTTAATATTAAATAATAATCATAATAACAAAAATAATAATAATAAAAAATCAATACATGTTTGAATTTATAAATTTTTTACTAATATTTTACTTTTTAATTCTATTTAGATCATTAGATATTATATTTTCATGTAAAATATGAAGAAATTTTAGTATCATTAATCAGCAAAATTGAGAAAACATAAAAAATTGAAAATTGAAAAACATATTTAAAAAAAAAAAAAAACCAACGAAAGTGGTTCTTGTTAGATATTATATTTTCATGTAAAATATGAAGAAATTTTAGTATCATTAATCAGCAAAATTGAGAAAACATAAAAAATTGAAAATTGGAAAAACATATTTAAAAAAAAAAAAAACCAACGAAAGTGGTTCTTGTTTAGAATTTTGACATCATACCTTGATTATTAAAGTACCATGTAAAATATTAAAGTTTATAAAATATAATGTAAAGAAAAAAAAGTGTATGAAGATAATATGTGAATTTGTGAGATGTAACACAAATCTCTATTTTAAAAATGCATGTGCTTTCCTCTATCTAAATTCGAACAAATGCATATAACTTTAAGATTCAACCAAAATTATCCACAGTGATTTGATTCATAATGAACAATTATAAATATTATATATATTAGTATAGAAGCAGATACATGAAATAAAAAATAATAATTTTTTTTGTTCTTTCAATCATCATTAATGTAAAAAATAAAGAGAAGATTATATATATAAGAAGAGAGACTGTTTGTTTATATTTATATAGAACTCTTGAAAGTAGATATATTATTTTTGAGTATTCAACTCCAAAAATAAAAAAATAGTTGATTTATATGGAACTCTTCATGACTTTTAAAAAATATAATAGATTTGAAATGATAAAGTTAAGATTTAAAAAAAAATAGAAAATATGACAGGATTTTCATTCTTTCATAATAGTAGTAGATGATTATATTATTGTTAACCCATTCCCCCTAGTTTGCTATAAAAGAATGGTTTACAAGTATATTAATGAATAACAACTAAAATTAACACAAAAATTGTGTTTAGTTCTATTGATTTTTACATACTTGTAACCTTGGAATATTGTTTTATTGTCCTCTCTATTTCTTTTGTGAACTATTTTATATTTCGATATATTTTAATTAACAACTTTCTATCGGATATACAATATACTAAGTCTCGTGCTTTTCCATCAAAACTCCCTTTGTAGGAAAGGGGAAAACCAACCTAACCATACGTCTGATAATCACAACTAACAAAATGATACATTATTTATATATAAAAAAAAAACCTCTATATTTTTCTATGCTTTGTAATTAGGAAAGTGAGAAGGCTAATTAATCAACCTCACAGCCAGAGATTAGGGCATTGAGATATGGGACCCAACACAGCATGAGAGAGAGAGTGAGAGAGAGAGAGGATTAGTCTTACTTTAGCAAAATATAAATGAGGGGTCATACATAAAATGTACAGAGAACCTGTGTCCTTTTCAATTAGGACAGATTTGTGGGTCAAAGCTTTCGAATATAGGACTCAAATAGTAGTCTGTCTGATTGAAAATTTCGGTGAAAAAAACTAAAAAATAATGCAGGCGGGAGAGAGAGAGAGAGAGGGGCAAAAAGCAGATTCCATTTCAATCTTATGCTCTGGGTGCTATTACGTAAAACATGCCATAATACATACTATAATGCATTTTATTATTGAACAAAACTTTTTATGTTTGCTTATTATATAATCCCTCAACTTTATGCAACTTCATACCATTAAACATCACCCCACACACACACACACACACACACAGATGGACTTCACTCAACATGGTCTCCTAGACGAATTACTATCTCCAGAAAGGGACACTAATTGGACCAACTTTCCTACGGGAGAGAATGACTTCTTCTCCAATGGGTGGATGTTTGAATCTTTTGATCATGAGAGCCAAGTTTTCTTTAGTTCTCCAAATCCAAATCCAAATCCAAACCCAAATCCGCCATTTTTAGGAGTCACCTCACCAACAGATCTCAATGAACTCTACCCTTTTTTTGATGGCTTCACAGAACCACCAGAGCTTGATTCATCATCATATCACTATAACCATGGCACAACTCACTCATCAATGGTGGAAGATGGAGACTACGGCTTTGTTGGACTTACCAATGATCACAGTTTGGAGCAAACAATAAATTGCTGCAAAGTTGAGATACAAATGGAATCTACTGTTGATAATATCACACAATCCAACATAGTTTTGTGTGGGGAGAAAAAGAATAGAGTTAAGAAGGCCGAGCGGCAGCCCTCGAAGAATCTCATGGCAGAAAGAAGGCGAAGGAAGCGTGTAAACGACCGCCTTTTGATGCTCAGATCAATTGTCCCTAAGATAAGCAAGGTGATTGATCATTTGTGACTCACATACATTTGTTGAATCCTATTTCATTAATTTGATTAATGTCTAATTTTTATTTTTATTTTCAGACATCACAATCACAAAAATAAAAATAAAATAAAATAAAAAAAAGGGTAGTTGGTTCTATTGATTTCAATTACTTGTTTTGTGTTGAATTAAAAATAGGAATGTTTTCATGAGCAGATGGACAGGACATCAATACTAGGAGATACAATAGGCTATATGAAAGAGCTCTTGGAAAAAGTAAAAACCTTGCAAGAAGAAGATGATACACAAGCCAGTATGAATCAAGTGAATTTAATGGATAGTTGCAAGGAACTAAAGCCAAATGAGCCACTAGTGAGGAATTCACCAAAGGTATATAATACAATTTTTTAAGTTTTCATAAATACATACAAATCAAGATAGTTGCCTTATGTAAACTCAAATACCCAGTTCCTAAAATCGAATTTTTCCAGTTCAATGTAGAAAGGACAAACACAGAAACACGGATTGAGATTCGTTGTGCAGCAAAACCAGGACTGTTGTTATCAACAGTTAATTCACTAGAATCACTCGGCATCAACGTTCAACAATGTGTCATAAGTTGTTTTAATGATTTTTCAATGCAAGGTTCTTGTTCGGAGGTACTTTATGTTTGATCAATTTTCTTCACATGATATTCTTCATAAAGTATGCTTCAAATCATTTATTAATGTGCTCTTTAATTATTCTCCGAATGGAGCCAGGGTTTGGAGCAGCAAATGGTGATAAGTTCTGAAGACATAAAACAAGCATTATACAGAAATGCAGGTTATGGAGGTCTATGTCTCTAGGAGGAGCATTGGAAAATAAATCTAGACAACTTTATTATTATTATTATTATTTTTTTTTTTGTGAAGCCTTGGTAGATGTATTTTAATTTTGATGTCAGCTCTTCACAGAATTTTGCAAGTGAGAGAAGCTGCAATAATGTTGTATTTCAAGTATTGTTTATCCAATAGGTCCATGATCCACTCCACAACCTAAAATGTATTTTCTATTGATTAATGCAAGGGCCAATTATTCCCCTTCATACTAAAGCTTTATATATATATATATATATGTATGTATGTATATTAAGGTTGTGGTTGGATTTATAGATTTGAAATGAAAGAATTTGACATTCTTCGAGGAGAATAGCTCAAATTTATATTAATTTGATAGTTAGAATTTGAGAGTTTTGTCAATCAGTAGTTATCTGAAATCCTTTATTTCAAGGGTTCTAGTTCTTCAAAGATCATAATAAAATACTTCTATTTTATCTTTCAATAATCTTTTCGCTTAATTTCTCAATCCATCTATAATAGTTTAATTTCCTATATATTTACAAAATTCAATCTTGAAACCCTTTATTTGTAAGTTCAAATTAATGGCTGAGAATGTTTTTGGTACCTACCCATGACAAAGGAATCAGCATGTTTGTTTCCAGTTTTTTGAAAATACGTTTTAAAAATTCTACTTTTTTGCTTTCTATATATATATTTTTATTTTTACTGAAATTTTTTAATATTTTAAGTAATTTTTTTTTTTAATTTTTAGACACACCTAACATAAATACACTTAAAGGTCATGTTTGATTCACAAGACTAATAGTGAAGTATTAATAATCCTATTAAATTAGTGTAGTATTCATTATCCAATTGGATTAATATCTATTGGATTAATAATCCCACCACTACCCCATTACTAATAATCCTACAATAATCCTACAAATTTGTTAGATTTTTTTTTTTCTATGAGATAATCTACAAACCAAATATTTATTTTGCGTTACACGCTTTTCTTAATTCTTTCAAGGTATTTTTTTTAATGCTAAATCGTCCTTTTTTTCTCCTTATTTTCCCATGCATTATTTTATACTCAATACCAATTCTATATTATTTTATATTACGGATTTATTGTTTAAATTTTATAATAATTCTATATATGGAGTGGGTGGATGGAAAGAGAGAGAGAAAGAGAGAGAAATCTGTGGACTCATCATCTTCTTGGTGGATGTCAGGGAATTTGGTAATGGGAATCTGGAAATCGTGACTGTTCTTTCTCTTGCGGTTCAGTTCTTGATTGTTGGCCATGTCGTCTTGGTTGTTCATTGGGAGAGAGAGAGAGAGAGAGAAAGAGAGAATGCAAGAAACAGCGAAAGATTGCAAGAAATGAAGAAGAAAGAAATGGGTTTCGAGAGAGAGAGAGAGAATAAATAGATATATACAATGGAGGAGATAGAGATGAAGAAACAGAAATTGAGTGAGATTGAAGTTGGATTTCGAATTAAAAATGTCGGTTCAAATTCTATTAAGTTGGGGGATGGGATTGGGGTAAGACTGTCATGTTTGATTCACAAGATTAATAGTGAAGTATTAATAATTCTATTAAATTAGTGTGGTATTGATTGTCCAATTGGATTAATATCTATTGGATTAATAATCCCACCACTACCCCATTACTAATAATCCTACAAATTTGTTAGATTAATTATTCATTGGATTAATAATCATAAACCAAAATGTTAAAACAAACATAGGATAATTGGGCTCACGGATTAATAATCTCAATCCCATGCTCTAATCCACCCAATCAAACATGCCAAAAAAGTATAATTTTCGTGAAACAAATCTTTAAAAAAATCACTAAATATCAAAAATACAAAAAAAATACAAATTCAGTATATTTTTCATATTTTTGTGTATTTATTAATTTTTAAAATATTTTTTCACAAATATTTTATTTTTTAGATACATCTAAGTAAGGTGCATCTAAAAAAGTAAAAAAAATGCTTAAAATTTAAAAAATATTCACTAAAAATACAAAAAACAAAAAACTTAATTTTTAAAAAACTGAATTCAGAAAACTGAAACCAAACAGGCTGAATGTTTTTTGGAATATATGCACATAATTAGTGATTGATACCAACAAACTAATATGTATATATGTATTATCATTAATGAAGTACACAAAAATAAAAACACCAGTACTGAGAATTTAACTAGAAAGGCCAATAGAAGCACAGTAGCTTGGTTATCTCTAGCATGTATCTTGAAACAAATAATATTTATCTCAAATGGTCTTTCTATATATTCTTTCTTGAACAATCTTAAGGAAGCTAACTAGCCAGCTCGTTTGAGAAGAGTTAAAGTGGGTTTTTTTTGACTATTTTAGTCACCAAAGACAAAATATGTTATTTTAACCACAAAAAACAAAACATCACATCTAACCCATAATCATTACACTCTTCTCTCACAAAAAAATCAAAAAATCTTTCCCAAACCAAACTTTTTAGCCCAGGCTAAAATAGTCAAAAAAGACAAAAAGTCAACCCACTTCCCAAACCAACAACACATATATAACTGCAACATCTTTGTAAAAAAAAAAAAAAAAACCAACAAATAAGAAAACTAAATTAACAAACAAAAACAAAAACTTGAAATTTTCAGCATTCTATCCTGATTTTAATTAGGTAGAGCAAGAGATGACCTCTCAAGACCCTTCTCTTTTTTGTTTTTTGGTAATTGACTCAAAAATCTTAAAGGAGCCATAAAAAGTTTGAGTTTGAATGGAAAAACCCATGGAAGGTGATGTACCATTGCTCCATTCAAATTCCAGAATATTGGTTGTCCATCAATGCTCAAGGTGGAAGAACTTGGTTCACCAGAGAAGAATTTGGAGAAGAGGAAGAAAGGTTGTGAGGAAAAGATGGTCAATTCAGATCATGTAAGTGGAAATAGTTCAAACCACAAAAACTGGCACACCTCCTAGTACAAACCAAATACAGGCCGAGTAAGATATGCATCCAAGATTTGGTATCTATGATAAACAATACTACTCTGACCTTAATTAACCATACCTAAACTGGGGTTTCTAAATTTGAGGGACCAAATATTATCTTCGCTACAACTGTAAATGCCCATAATACAAATGACCTTTGCTTTCTCCTTGTTTATTGACTGGTCTCACATGTGGCTCTTAAAACGACTACAACTGGCCACTAATCGTGGTCGTTAAATTTTGCTGTGATAATAGGCAAAATCATTGTCAATTTCATCACATCATGACATGTCAAAACTGAGATAATTGCCTTAGTAGTTACCACCTGAAAGTATCTATGTTTGTCCCCTAAATGTTTAATCGTTTGGTTCTCAATTGATTTCTTTATAACAAGATAAGGTTTTAATTTTTTACACCAAAATCAGATGTGACCCAAACCAATTGTCAACAAAATGAAACAGGGACCTACTTGAATGAGGAGGGTACTAGATTTTATCATCACATCATGACTTCTTGTTCTTGAATCCTCTATAAATATTATACTACATTATTCATGAATGTAGCACAAGAATTACACAAGCCCAAACAGCAGCTATATTATCGAGATAAACCAATATATATATATATATATTTTAAATTCTTAAGAAATAGTCTGTACAAGCAGACAATTAAACTTAAATGTTCAAATTAAGTTTGTTTTATATAGTCGACTTCGTCAAATTGTGTACCCATATAAATCTCTATCATGATTTCAGGCAGTTAAGATGGATCTAACTAAAACCAATAATGGTAGACAAACAATAAACAAATAGAACCTAAATAACAAATATGAATAGGCCAATAAAGAAATTGCCATAAGCAGGGCTTTCTAGATATTATTGAAGCAGTATTCTGAAGCAATACACAATTGCTAGAGTGTAGATCCAATATTTCAGCGGTTACAGATGCAGCTTCAATCATAATCAATTATCTCAATACATGCTGATACAATTCAATATAAGGAAAAGTGAGTTGTTAAGGTTCATCTTCACCTTCATCGTCATCCCTCTCAACATCATCATCATCATCATCAAAATTGAAGTAGTTACTCATAGAACTACCCTTCAAGTGTTGGAATTGATGGATAACATCATTTGCATCAGAAACCAGAGCACTTTTTGCAGCTTCAATAGCATCCTTTTTCTGGATATAGCTCTCCTTTCTATCATCTTTCCCTGGAATGGATTTGGATGCGTGCGCAGATGCTGCCCTTCTCTTAGCTTCCCTGCAATGTAACTTATCAATATATTTCTCATGTAAGACTTTGTTTTTAATCTGCTTCAGAACCGGGGGGCTCACAATAGTTGCTCCATACGAGTTACCATGTCGTGAAACATGCTTCTTACTTGCTGAAGAAGATCTCTCACGGAATTCCTTAAGATACCCAGGTTTTCCTTTTTCACATTCTGGTGTGGAATGTATTTGGGTAGATGGATTAAAGGAGGACTCAAGAACAGAGAATAAATCAGCTTCATAATCTTGGTCTACATTATAATGCTTTTGTAGTAATTGTCGCACAGTCCTCTGTGCAAGATGACTCTTTTGTTTAAGGAAACTTGGCCTTCTAGTCTTTGACTCTGCAGAATTAAGCAATGTACTTGCCGAGAGTGAGAAGGATGACAAATTAGTTTTTCTAGACCTCAATCGGGTTCGAGTTTGAGGAGGTGTCAAGTGGTCAGCATGGACTTTATCAAAACAATCAAGTGCAGACTTTCCAGGCACCTACAACAGGTTTTGAAGTGGTAATGTCAATTCAAAATCACACCTCTTGGAATAGAATATTAAAGGTGAAAAACTACATTTTGATATTGTCAAGGTTAATAGACAGGTTTGCAGCTTATATCATTTTATAAAAGAAGATTATAGCATTAACAAAATGCAAATGTGTCTTCATACAGTTGAAAGTTTTGGGTTGGCTATGAAACATTGACACTTCAAAATGGGTACCGTACCCTTGTTGGACTTCATCGACAAAGGCAGAAGATGAACAATCATACCCTAACATGCGGCTAATCTTTTTTATTTTTTATTTTTTGTCATGGAAACTTTCATAAATATTTTACAATTGGTCTTGTACCCTTTAAAAGTGGTAAATATATAATCAAATGCAATAATCTATACTAAGAACCACAAGGTTGCACTAAGATAGCACCACAAGTACCAAGTTTCTTAAGAATACCAAAATTCAAAATCAGTGGGCGCATGAATTCTGCATATCCTCTTCCTTTTCTTTTTCTTTTTATTTTTTTAATGCCTAAGAAATTATTGAAACATTTATAACAATGAAACAAAGTCATTAAATACCAACAAAACTAAAAGAGTAACTCCTTACCAGCTTAGCAACCTTCTTCCAGAAATGGGGCGTTGGCTTCGCAGTAAAGTAAGCTCTCTGCAGTGCCGATTCTTGATCCTTAGTCCACCCATTAACTATTCCATGACCTACACCAACTTGATTTCTCTTCCTCTTAACCCCAATTACTTTCATTCTTTTATCAAGATCTCTCTCCTTCTTCTCTTCCCCGCCATCTATAACGCCCAGAGCCCGACAACTACGGGTCAACCTCTTTTCCAATTTGCCCCCAAACTTTTTACATGAATTAGCACCCTCTTTAGCTATTTCTACATCTGATGAATCCTCTTCATCAAAAATGGAAGCACTCTCGTTAAATCCAGTACACTTACCCTTGTTAGCCCCAGAGCTACGCATCGACCTCTTTTCCAATTTACCCCCAAATTGTTTACATGAATTAGTACCCAATTTAGCTCTTCCTACATCTGGGAAATCCTCTTTATCAAAAACTTGAATCGAAGCACTCTCGATAAACCCATTGCACTTATCCTTGTTAGTCTTCTTAGCACATTCATCAGCATTTCGCCTACTAGAACTACGCGTCACCTTCTTGTCAATTTTAGCCACAACTTGTTTACACAAATCGATGCCCAATTCAACCTTCCCCACATTCAAGAAACCCTTTTGCTTAGACATATTGAGACTTTTGTTATCAACAAATTCATCAGGAGTAATTTGATTACCGGAAAACCTCGGAGATCGTCGGAGACAAGCACCACCATTGAATGTCGCAGATCTTCTCGACCCAGTATTCAATTTCTCGGAAATCTTCTTCGACCCACATTTCGATTCTTCGAACTTGTTTGGAACTTCGTTTGGGATTTGTTTGTGGGTTTTCTTCAGATACCGCTCGTGTGATGAGGTGAGTGAGAGAGGATGGACGGAGTTGGCCCTCGATTTGGGGGAAGGGGTCTTCGGATCTTGTGGAGGCGAATGAAGCTTTGAAAGAAGCCTCGGAGATCTTCGGAGAGTGGGGGTGCTACTGTTGGGCTGTTCTCTGCTGATGGAGTTTCGTTGGGGCATTTTCACGAACACTTGGCCTTCTTCTTCGTCTTGCACGTTGACAGATGGCCTTGAGAGGGAAAAAACTGATTCAAAATAGTTTAGTTGCAGTCTTTGTTTGTAGCTAACCCCCTCAAAATTAAAAAAAAAAAAAAAAAAGGGAAAAAAAAAAGAGGGGGCGGGGGGGGGGGGGGGGGGGGTGTAAATATGAATTACATTATGTCCTCAATTTTCTAATTTCATAAAGTTTCTCTATTAATAAAATAAAAGAAATTAATGAAATATTTTTCTTCGATTTTTAAAATTTCTCTGTGACACATTGCTTTTTCTCTGTGAAGCCAAAATTTTTCTATAAAATTTATTTGTGTTGAAATTTCTTTGTAAAAATGTTATGAGACCCCAACTACTATAAAAATATTACATGTACTTTATCTTATAAAATCTTAATATTAGGGACCTTAAACTAAGGTGTCGTTTGGCAACCTTCTGTTTTGGCTAAAAATTCAAAAAGTCACTATAAGGTATTACATCACTTTCTCTATTTTTTTGTACATCTTTTTGTAAAAAAAGTCAAAAAAATTACTAAAATAGGTTGTTTCCAAACAAGGCCTAAAAATTCTGATAAATTATCAAGTCAATTAACAGTTTTTAATTATATTAAAAATATATTTCAATTAATAATTTAAATAATTTTATTATCATATAGGAAAGTAATTACAACTTTTTATTTTTTAGTTAATTCTATTAAATAAAAAGTATTAACAATGAAATATTTGTAATTTTCTAAGTCACATAAGATAATTTGTTTTTTAACCAAATCTTAAGAGTGTATTTGTAAATTACCTAAATAAAAAATTATTTAGTGTGTTTAGTTTTAATTTTCTGAATTCAATTTTTTAGAAATTGAAATTTTGTTTTTCATGTTTTTTTTATTTTATTTTTAGTGAATATTTTTTAAATTTAAATAATTTTTTTACTTTTTTATATGCATCTTACTTAAATATATTTAAATAATAAAATATTTGTGAAAAAATATTTTAAAAAATTAATAAATACAAAAAAAAATTACTAAACTTTCATATTTTTTTTTTATATTTTTAGTATTTAGTGAATATTTTAAAAAAAATTCACAAATATTATACTTTTTAAATATATTTATGTTATGTGTGTTTAAAAATTAAAAAAAATACTTTAAATATTTAAAAAATAAAAAATACTAAAAATAAAAATAAAATTTAAAAATGAATTTTTAAAATAAATTGTTTTTCACACGTGTGTGTGTTTAAGCCTGTCATGGTAGGATAGTTGCTCAAAGCCGAGGATCTGGTTTACCAAAAAAAAAAACGAGCCGAGGATCTGGCCCAGGTTTGTTACTTATGTTTCGTTTGGCAAGTAGTTATTAACTAAAAAATTCGGTTGTCAAATAAGGCTTAAAAAAGTTAAAAAACTAACAGCTCACATCAAAAAGTTAAAAAAAAAAAATTCTCTCTATTTTTTACATATTTTTTCGTAAAAAGTCAAAAAAATTATCCCATACATACTAATTTTTTTATATCACATTTTAATCAAAAAATTACTAGAAAAATTTGTTCCCAAATGAGGGCTATTATTATTATTTTAATTAATAGCAGCCCATTACAAGGCTGACCCGTTGCCTATACTACCCATCCTTTCTCCAATTTTGAACTTTGGGCCAGTAGAATTTAGTTGTTTTTTTTGAACAAATTATCAAGAATCCCTCTTTGAAAAATATGTGACCTATTTAATCCTATAACTTTTTGTTTATATTCAAAAGTTTTATAACATTTTTCTTCTTCTCAGCCTTTGTTTTTCTCTACCTCTTCCTCTTTTTGATCTCCAGCAATCGTCGACAGGTAACCACATCTTACTTCTTCTCTTTCTCTTTCTGATATATAGTCATCGGCTACTGATAACTACCATTGATTGGGGTTCACCAATAACCATCGGCCGCCGACTCCTTAATTCACCCTCATCGACGGTGAAGAAGATACGTTTCCGACGAAAAAGATGAGTAAATCTATTTAGATCTGATATAGATCTACATCAAATCTGGCTAGATCTAAACAAAAAAAAAGTTGTTGGAGTATAATCCTTTCTCTATATCTGTCCCTCTCCTTCGATCTCTTAATTTTCCTACATTTTCTCTACTATACATTTATTTTTCCCTATTTTAATGGATAAAATTTTCAAATTTTAAACAAGTTGTTTTCGAGTTTTAGTTATAGGCGATGAAAATTGTAAAATTTTTCAGTATCAAATTTTTTTTGTGCTGGAATAAATCATGGTTTAAAACTATAAAATTTTGCAATTTCATAACATTTTTTAGAATTGTAAAATTTTACAGTTTCATAACATGTTTTCCAGTTTGATCAATATTGAAAATTATTTGCTTAAACCCTACAAAAATTGAAAAATAACATATATTTTTTCTCATTGTTACTGCTTTTTTGTCGTTACATTTTTTTTCCTTTTAATTTATTAATAATGTTTTTTCGCTCTAATTTCTCAATTTATTATTTTTTTCAGGCACTATTCTGGACATTCCGGTGAGTCTCCAATGATGTTCTTAATGTCCAACGAACGTTCTGGATATTCCGGCGATTTTGATTGACATTTAGAACACTCCGGTAAACTTCCGGCGATACTCCGGCGACTTCTCGATGATGTTGAATATTCCAGTGAGTCTCCGATGATCAGTTGACGGAAGTCAGACAGTAGTGGGATATAGCAGCGCCTGTAAATTAAAAAAAAAAAAAAAGATTTATTGGTAACAATTGAAAATATAGAGAACTAATTGGAGTAAGTGTTTTGTTTTGGGATTAGATGGGTTTTGAACTTGGTATATGAAATTTATTGGTAAATTACCTATAAGTATTTTTTTTTTTTAAGTATTTTTTTTTTTTTTTTTTGTAAATTACCTGTAAGTCCTATTTAAAAAGTGTATATTCTATTTAATCTCAAAATCTTTTAGATAGATCCAAAAATTATGTGTCCATTTATCTTCTCCTCTTTATCTGGACCTTACTTATTCTCTTTATCTTTCTTTCTCTAGTATCCGGCAAGGACCACGACTACGCATTCATTTTTTTATTTTTTTTTATTTTTTTCCCCCTTTTGAATCTACAACCACCGACGATCGCCCATCACCGTTGATTGGGGTTCACTAACAACCACCAAGTACTAACTCTTTGCTTTGCGCTCACCAATGGCGAAGGAGATAAGTTTCCTACGAAGAAGATTAGTAGATTTATTCAAATCTGATTTTTTAGGCAATATTCTAGACATTTTAGATATCTCGGTGACATTCAGAACACTCTCGCGAATTTCTGGTGATACTCCTGTGACTTCCCAATGATTTGAACATTCTGGAGAGTCTTCGATGACTGGCTGATGAAAGTCTAGCAATGATAGGATATATTAGCAGTGTCTTTAATTTTATTTTTTTTAAAAAAAGGATTTTTTGGTAATAATTAAAAATATGTAAGATTATTTGGTGCAAGTGTTTTGTTTAGGAACTAGATGGGTTATGAACTTTATGTATGAGACCTATCGGTAAGTTCCTCCCCCCCTCCTCTCTTTTTTTTTTTCAAATTACAAATTTATTATAAAAAATTGGAAGCTAAAATTATTTTTCTCGCAATTTTTTCAATAATTTATTTTTTTTCTACCTGTTTGGATAAATATGAGACTCTTGAGGAAATTCATCTTAATCTGAATAGTGTAAGCTGTAATAGATGTTATTCTTATAAAGGATAGAGTTCTATAAAGTAATGCTTCTAGGCGACAAGGGCACTGCTGACTATAAAAGTAAAGCACCCCTGTAGGTCTATGGGATACTTTATTATCTTCTTGTGTGTAGGTATTGGACTTCTCTATTCTTCTGTGTGCTCTACGGCTAAATTCCTTAGATCTCGGCAAAAAAATCTAATTTTATTGTAAAGTCAAAGTCAACACACACACAACAAAGTATTCTTAGATTGTGTGTACTTATAAGGCTGATTAAGGGGAGATGCTTTATGCATAATGTCTTAATGAAGCATAGTGGAAAATACAACACAAAGCAAGAATTCTCATCCAATATAAAATAACACCATGCTTGGTCTTGGAATAATCTTCAATATGTGTTCTTATTAGGCTGATTAAGGGGAAATGCTTCATGCATAAATTCTTAATGAAGCATAGAGGAAAATACAACACAAAGCAAGAACTCTCATCCAATATAAAACAACACCATGCTTGGTCTTGGAATAATCTTCAATACAAAGCAAAAGCCACGAGAGGAAGAAAATATATCCATCTATCTATCTATATATTATATAAGAAAAATAGAATTTTTAACTCACAAGTATTATGAGAGTTTCAATATCTCAATTTTAATTTCTTAATTTTTTTATTTAAAAAAAATAAATAAAAACTCAGTATTTATTGACTTTTTCCAAGCCTTTTTGACTTCTCATACCTATTTAATTATTTTGGAAATAATAATTATTTTCCCTTTTGAACTTCTCCCATACCTATTTAATTATTTTGGAAATAATAATTATCCCTTAATTTATGGATTTCAATTAAAAAGATAACAAAAATATTTCATAATCTCTCCATTCTAATTTCTCTCATCGATGTCCAAAAGAAAATATTAAAACATACCTTCATTTTCTCTCCCTCAAAAAATCAAATAATATTTTTCATGAGAATTGTAGATATTTATCTATATCTTATATATTATATTATAACACAAAAAAAAAAATTAAAAATCAGATATACAAACAGATAAAATTAATAAATATGATTTTTATTTATTCAGTTAAAATATTTCTTTTGCCTCTCAATATCCAATTTTAAATTTTAAAAATCTTTAAAGCCTATCTAAACAAATATAATATTTCTCACACCATCATACATTAAATCAATAAAATTCACATGTCTATCACATATCTAGCTCACATCATAACTTACCTAAATAACAATAATAAAAAATAAATAGAAACCATAAATAAATTAAATTTTAAAAAATAGGGCAAATTATGCAAATGGTCCCTGTAATTTACCCGTTTTATCATTTTGGTCCATGTTATTTTAAATTGATCAATTTTGCTCTTGAATTTTACGGATTATGCCAT